GGTACCACGGCTAGGCAGTAGTTGGAAAAAGCAGGCTGACAAGGCCACAAAGAGCAAACCACTAAGCAGCAGTCCTATCCCCAGGTTACTGCCTTGAGTCCTGGCTCTGATTGTGATGATGGACTGTGATATGGAACTGTAAATTAAACAGACCCTTACCTCTCCAAGTTGTTTCTGATGTTCATCACAGTAAAAGAAACCCTAACAAAGACAGTGTTTTCAGTGACTATGTGCTCATCAGAGTGAGAGGGAGCGGTGGTAGCGGTGGGTAAGAGGACAAGAATAAAGAAACTGCCTATGACAGCACTGAGGAGGGGGCTTAAAATATTATTCTCAGTGACTCACAGTATTGCTTTCCTAATCATATTTTTTCAATGTAATCAAAGTGGAGAAAAACCTCAATTAAGAAAATGCCAGGGAAGGAAGGAGGGAGCTGTAATCAGACCTGATGAAGAAAGCCCAGCCCATTGTAGGAGGTGCCTGGTGGTATTAGGTTCTATAGAAAGCAGGCTGAGCAAGCCATGAGTGTAAACCACTAAGCAGCTCCCTTCCTTCAGCTCCTCCTGCCTCCAGGTTCCGGGCAGTTTGAGTTCCTGTCCTGACTTCCTTTGATGATGTACAGGGATGTAAGTGTTAAGCCAAATACACCTTTCCTTCTTAAATTGTTTTTGGTCATGGTGGTTCATCCCAGCAATAATAACCCTAACTAAGACAGTAAGAGTAGTTTTAGAAAACCACACAACCCTCACACACATATTTTCTGCATGCTTATATATGGTACAAGTTTCCTCAGACAGGAGTTACAAAGCTGAATTAAAGGGCCCTGGAAATATTGCCATCAAAATGGTGACAGTATTTCTCTCCAGGTGAAAAGTGTTTCACTTGCTTCTTGATTCATTGAAAAAAAAAATGTTTATAATTTTTACTAAAACTAAAACACACCTCTTAAAAATTAGATGGCTCATATAATTCTTGTGGAGTAAGTTACACTAAGTTTTCCTGACCTCTCATTTTCTATTCTTCATTTGCTTACTCTCAATAAACTTTAAAAACTAGTAAAAACCTAAAAATTCAATATACTGGGATATAAAATAAGAAATTACCAGAAACAGTACACTTAAATCAGAAGAGCAGGGAAGGAGGAAGATGTCAACCACTGCATAAGCTGATACCATGACATTCTGACAAATGACATCTACTCTTGACTTTAAAAAAAAAGACTTTACAAAGTGTTTTTAAGAGATATTTTACTTTTAGTGTATGTGTTTGCTGAATACATATAAGTGTACTACGTGAGTGCCTGGTCTCCATGGGGGCATCACAACACCTGGAAATGGAATTACGGTTGTGAGCCAACATGTGTGTGCTGGGAACAGAACCCAGTTTCTCTGTAACTAAAAGTGCTCGAAATCACTAAACCATTTCTCTCCAGCCCCCAGAAAATGAGATTTTAACACAAAACAGCAACTACCAGGGATCAAGAAATTTTCCCCTGTATTGTTACTCTACTGGTCTTCTACTCTTCTAAATTTCATACAAAGAAGAAAAATCCAGCAGTCAATAATTCTTTTTTAAGGATCAGAATAGTTGTAACAGTCTGTTTTTAATGGCTTAGTACCTTCAGTCCAAACACCCACTCACCCATCACATTCTAGGCTTCACACTGCTCATTTTCCTGCTTCTTCCTCTGGGCTGTATTCATGGGCATTTCTCAATGACCAGCACTGGCTAATATACTAAGTACAGTCACATACCCTAAATGGAACAAAACTGGTATGGTCTGTATGTTAGACACTGTTTCTTTTACTGAAGCAGTCTAATAAGAACTCAGGTTAAGCAGTGACCCATCATCATTAAGTAAATTCAGATATTTAAAAGATATTACAATTTTTATCAGGAGACATTTACTGAATACTTTTAAAGCATCTATTAAGATTAACTAGATAGTAGTCCTTATAACAAAACCATTTTATCAATATCATTTCCAATACTAAGGAACTCATAGAATAACTATTTATAGCTGCAGTCATTTTAATACATGATTAATAACCTCCTAACACTGAGCTCAGAATCCTCAGTTATATTTTTATGTGTGTTAAGGTACAAATGAGATTTAGGTATTAAGGATTATGTCAACTTTATGGAAACAGGCAAGTAACCAAGGAGCTGAAATTTAGAGACTTTAAAAATAAAAACTTTTGGGGCTGGAGAGATGGCTCAGAACCATCTAAAATGAGATCTAGTGCCCTCTTCCGGGGGTACAGGCTTTCCTGTATAATAATGTATATATAATAAGTAAATAAAATTTAAAAATAAAACAACAAAAACTTAAAAGTATCCTTGATATAATTACAAATCTCTATCTTATATTTAGCAGTGTTATTTTTCTTTTCAATCTGAATGATCTTAATATCAACCTCTGTGGTATATAACCATGACTATAAACTACCTCTGTTCTGCATACTGTAGTCATTTTGACTTCTGGCACCTAATGTATGTGCCACTCCTCAAGTTTCATATCCTCCCCAAGTATTGGTTAACAGGGTGCAGGACACATGTGGTAGACCTTTGTAGAATGAAATAAGCATCTTTATGAGTTGCTGCAATTTATGAGTCAGCATCACTATACAATTTTCAGCCACACATGAAATGAACAATAAGACATGCCACTCAATTTTCCTCATATTCTAAAGTACAGTTTCTTAAAACTATGGATAATGTAAATGGGGTAATAGGCAAAGGTTTCTGAATAAACTACCAACATTTAATTTGAACTTAAATGAGTAACTCAAGGTGTTTGTTAGAAATACTCATTGATGTTACACCATGTGACTTCAACCCTTGGTTCTTAGCACAGATATGCACATCATGCACTGTACAAGCAGTTACACCATGCCAACACATGTGACCTGAAATGCCTTGGCTCAAATTCATCACTATAACGACCCACCATGTTTTCACTGTACATATGAAGTTTTCTATTGTTATAGGAATATAACATTTATGAAATAAAACTTAATTTTTATATCACTATTCCTCAGTATGTATCAAAATATAACATCTTTGGATCATATTGTGCTACACTGTTTGACTTCAAATATTTATTTTAGAATTGCTCTTTTGAGGTTCATTAAAAAAAAAACATTAAATGAATTTGAGTATGATTAGGAAGAAATTCCTAACAATTTCTGAAGTGTTCCTTAACATACATAGTTTTATACTATGTATTTGTGTGAATTGGTGTTCTTAGCACTGATGATTATAAAATTAAATGTGATCAATTCTGAAACATGCTGAAGATGTTCTATATCCAGGAACACCAACTATTTAGCCTGTGTGTGTGTGTGTGGAGAGAGAGAGAGAGAGAGAGAGAGAGAGAGAGAGAGAGAGAGAGAGAGAGAATGTGCATATGTATAGGCCAAAGGGGGTTATCGAGATGTGTTCTTCAATCACCTTCCTATCTTAGTTTTTAAGATAGTATCTCTCACTGAACCTGGAGCTCACTGATTCAGCTAGAATAGATGGGCAACAAGCCCCTAGGAACTGCCTGCCTATCCCCCCCAAACTAACACTGGGTCAAAGATGCACAAGTCAGATTTTCATATGGGTGCCAGGGATCTAAGTTCAGATCCATAGTCTTGTATGGCAAGCACTTTACCCACTGAGCCATCATCTCCTTGGCCTCCCATTTAATTCTTTATGTAAAATTAGACACACCTATCTCATTAGTACACAATTTGTTTCCCCTTTTAATAAACAGCAAAGTTGTATGTATACTAAAGAACTGCTTTTAAATAAGTTTATGATTTATCATCAGTAAGTGTTTGATTTGTATAATTAGTTATTATTCCTGGGATCACATAAAAATTTCTCAAGCAAAAACTGATCATGAATAGAAAAAGTTTGAAACTGTTATAATTGTAAAACATTTAATTATATTTAAAATAAGATAAAATATAGAAATAATAATACGTCAGCATCCATTGCAGTAAGCACTTCAAAACTGTACCTTCATTTGTTTATCATTTGATCTTCAGAATATCAAATTATCCAAATAAAGCAAAAATCAGCACATCACTAAAACAAAAAATCTATAAGTTATTTTCCTCACTTTGTATTACTAAAAATAAAACCTTATTCTAATGAAATAGGTAGAAGAAAACCAAAGTCTGTATTCATACTGTGATATATAAATCACATCCAAAACATAAATAACTTTATTTTAGCATATTTGCAAGAGCCTAGGTTGGTCTTAGACTCATGGTGATCTACCTACCTCAGCCTCTGCAGCCTCTGATACATATTAACCACAGCACTTGCTTAGAATAAATGCTTTAATAGTCCAGAAAGCAGCTCAAGCATCTTAAGTATAACATGTAACTAACTGTTAAAAAGTTATTTCAAAGTATATTTGAAGTATACTCAGAATATAATTAATTTATATTCAGTGTCCAAAACAGGCAATACAGAAATTTTTTTTGTTTTTGTTTTTGAGACAGGGTTTCTCTGTGTAGTCCTGGCTGTAGAACAGGCTGGCCTCAAACTCAAAAAGATCCACCTGCCTCTGCCTCCTGAGTGTTGGGATTTAAGTAGAGAAAAATTGATGTTGTCTACTAGTAGGGGAGGATACATGATAACAAACTTACATGGAAATATGCTAAAACATTGGAATGTTGAATGTACAATTTTATGATACATACTTAAGATGGGTAAATTTTGTTCATAAAAAGATGCACAAGAAAACACTAAATAGGCTGAGGACACAAACTAGCACACCCAAGTTTTAAGAATGCAATATTGGATTGTCACAACAATTTATGGCTGTCAAGATCTCTCTGTGACAAAGATCTGTTGCTGGACTCTCTTGTCTTAAAAGTTCCATTAGCTTCCCTATTATTAGTCACAGAATGTACATTAGATGCACCCATCTACTTGCTCATATTTTGCTTTGTAAAGTGGAAAGGAAAGATGATGAATTTTCATTAAGGAATTATCACATTCCTGACATGGTGGCCAGGTTCTTTCATAATCTCATGAAAACCTAATAGTGATCCTATGAATCAGGCAGTTTTTTTGTTTTGTTTTGTTTTGTTTTAACCTCATTTTAGCAAAACAGAAAGTGGCTCAACGTCAGTCAAGGATTATAACCAAAATCACCACACAAGTACAAGTGCCAGAAATGTACTTATAAGATTCCTGCATCTACATTCCATTATACCAACATCCTTACACTGGACTATCAAATCTCATGAGCAGGTTCAAGAATATAGCCACAATGTATAAACACTAACTCCCACTTCCCAGAGATGTTGAATATTTTGATCAAACTTTGATTTCCTGTCAGTCATATGCTTAAGTGAAAATATTTCAACTGTACCCAAAGCAGATGAAAACTGCTTTCTATAGTGACTCCTCATAGACATATTTCAAAACTATCACAAGAACAAGTAGTTTTAAGTACAATGAACAATAGCGAACTAAACTATAAATTGACAAACCCTTTGGTTGATCTGCTTTGTGTTTCTGACATAAAGATGCATTTCCTTTTGGCAGGAGGGTCTTCCTCTTCATCAGAAGAGCTCTCTATTGTTAGATCAATAACATCTATCTTCTTCTTGTTTGCATCACTGGCTACAGCCACTGAACACGGTTTACTAAAGACACTGGAACCTGGATGTAGATAAACAAGAAGAAAAAAGAAATATCAAAGACATAAAACAAATTAGTCTTAAATGTATACCTATATTCATGACAGTACACATCCAGGGAAGCCATTTTTCTCTAGTAGGGACAGAGTCCAGGTACCTAACTTGTCAAACATTCCTGTGAGGACAGAGATCAGACCTCTCCTTCACAGCACCTATTCTCCCAACCACAATCAGGGGTTAGTACAGAGCCTAGTGCTGCTCATGCTATCTCTCTAGTTTAGTAACCACTGTACAGACAGACCCTGAGGGTTAAAGAACTGGTCTTACACCATGGGACAATAGTGTAGAGTGTGCACAGATAGCTGTGTGTTGTTATGCACATGTGGCACAGTTAAGTTAGAGCCATCCGGCCTTCAGTACGCAGTTTCAACAGCTGCATATTTTTACATGTGGCATCACTGAGTTAGAATCAGACATTTCACTGTAGCAATCCTCCTCATATTTTAATAAAACAAAAAGTCCCAAACTGATTACCTAAGTTGCTCTGACATGAATCATCTAGTCATTACCCGTCCTGTTTATATAGGCAATCACATTTATCATGTTATGTAACATTATTCACTATAATCTGTCAAAAATGAATGCTAGTTCATTGTGATAAAACATCAGACATTAATCAATAAAACTGTTTCTGCTCGGGCTGGAGAGATGGCTCAGAGGTTAAGAACACTGACTACTCTTCCAGAGGTCCTGAGTTCAATTCCCAGCAACCACATGGTGGCTCACAACCATCTGTTATGAGATCTGGTGCCTTCTTCTGGTGTGGAGATATACATGGAAGCAGAATGTTGTATACATAATAAATAAATAAAATCTTAAAAAAAAAAAAAAAACTGTTTCTGCTCACACTTTTTACATAATAAGGGACAACCCTTGCAATCCAACCCCTAAGAGGTCTGTGACAATCACAAGAAAATAATTATCATTGCCATATAGTTTTTATTTTCCCTTCATACTCAGAAAATTTTATTGTTTTTTTTAGAATTTAAACAGAGCAAGAAAAAAGTCAAATGCAATTAATTCAGATGTTGAATGTGCACATGAATTTCAATTCCTCAAACTCCCTTAGTGTGTTCTTTCATTGCAAATTAGTGTAGGAAGTTAAAAACAAGTACACATGCTGGTTAACTAAAGATATAAATTTCCTCTATGAAGAAAAAAATGGAAGAATTTGTTCAATAACAACTACTTCATGATCACTGATATTGATTAATTTCTCCAGCCACACTGGGTTCTGTACAGATACACAAAATAATTTCTAACCTTTTTGTTTCTCAAGTGTGTATACATAATACACATGCATATGTATGTACACATATGAGCATGCATGTGAAGGTCAGAGGTTTATACCAAGCATCTTCCTCAACTGTTTACCACTTTATTGACTCAGGCAGAGTCTCACTGAACCAATTTGGTTACTGAGTTTAGCTCAGTGATGCCCAACATTCCTAATACAGGTCCTCATGTGGTGGTGACCCAAACCATAACTTTTTTTGTTGCTAGTTCATAACTGTAATTTTGCTATTGTTACGAATTGTAACACAAATATCTGTGTATTTCGATGAACTTAGGCAAACCCTGAAAAAGGATTGTTTGACTCCAAAGGGGAGAGCAGCTTTTCTTAGGGATTCCTGTTAGTGCCTACAGAGCACTGGAATTACACAAGGCTCACACATGGTCACACACTTAGTGTGTACCCAGGATCTGAACTACAGTCTTCATGCTATTCTCATCCTTGCTTTCTAACTTCAGATAACTTTTACTTGTTTGCACATAAAATACTATTTAAAAGCTGTTAAGATAGTATAGCAATTAGTACATTCTTTAAAAAAAGAAAATGACTGAGGAGGCCTAATGGCCCAAAGATAGCCAATTAAATGCTCAAAATAGTCCTAGTGGTCAGAGTTAACATTTCATAATTTACACTTCTTTGGGCACCCTGCCATGCAGCACATACTTTCTATTTTTGTACAGGGCTGGCTGGTTACTTTCATAGCTTCTTTCTTGGGTCTCATTGGACACCAAGAACCATCTTCTTGGAACTTGATCTCATCTACATCAGAACAGTCATTAAGAATTTCCATGAAAAGCCTGTAAATCAATTAAAGTACACACATGTCATAAAAGTCAAAGATGAAATAAAGTAGTATATACTGAAGACAAAGTAGTAATATGATACATTTTTTGAACTTCAATTACAATTCCTCTATGGGGGGGGGGAGGTGGAGGGAGGGGGAAGAAGGAAAGGAGGGAGGGAGAAATGGATGGGCGGGCAGGTAGGTGGGAAGATAGGAAGGACAGGAATAGAATCAGGGCCTTGTACTTGTAACTAAGGCACACAAAACTAAAAAACTAAATCTTTACTAAAAACAAAACCTAACTTATTAAAAAAGCAGTTCACATAATCTGCCCAATTCTAATGTAAGCAATATAGAATTCCAGAGCCAAAATAACCTAAGCACAGCTTTAAAAGCTTAGCAGCTATGTAATGTGACTGCATTTACCATGTTCCCCCGTTACTACATATTGCTTTGTTTTTTGGGATCTTTACAAAAAATAATTTTTTAAAAAAAGATTACCTGTCTCTGCCTCCTGAGTGCAGGGCTTAAAGTTGTGTTTTATTATTTTTCCGGCCACTATTTTTTTTTCTATTTTTCTTTCCAGCTGCTTGCCCACAGTTATACTTATCCATAGATACACTTACCCATCTAGTATCAGACTTTCATAGGCAGCCTTATTATCACAAACAGGACAAATCCAGGTGGGCTTCTTCTCATTCATTTGAAGATAAAGGGCAGCATCAAAACACTGCAGATGTGTACAAGTCACTGCCCGGCATGGGATTGTCAGCCTCATTTTTCCTAACTGTAACACAACATGAAAATTTGTTCAAGTCAGTCAAGAAAGCCTTCAGGAGAAAAGAAGTATTCAAACAAGATGATCAAAATAAAAAGATCCAACCTGAATTTACTTTCATAAAGACTTTTATCTTTTTATTTAGGGTGGTCTCAAGATTTTTGAAAGATCATTTCACTTTAGTAATATGTAAGTCCAAAGGAAAAGACACACAACAAAAAATAAATAAATAAACAGAAAACTCCAAGCCTTATTTGCCCCCCCCCACCATTTCTCTATTAAGGAAATCACCGTTAGACATCTCTCGAATACCCTTTCATAAAGTTTAGCAGAAATCAAGTACACATTTAAAAAATTATTTTCTCACAAATGGCGTTATATTTCACAAAATTTTGTACCTTACTGCTACCCAGTTTGTTAGCTACTGCATATAAATCTGTACATAAAAAAGCAACCAGCAGGAGCTAGAGAGTTACATCAATGGTTCAAAGCACAGACTGATGTAAAGAGGACCCGAGTTCAATTCCCAGCACCCTCATGAGATGGCTCACAACCACCTGTAACTCCTCTGACCTCCATGGGCACCTGCCTCCCCCCGCCCCCACACACACACACTTTAGAAAGCAAATCTTTTTCTTTTAAGCTACTATGATACAAAGACATCATGGTTTAATTAATCAATATACTAGTCATAGGCATTTATGATTTCCCACCTTGTATCACTATGTTATAAATAGGTGCCTCAAAATGAATTTTTTTGGATCAAAGGGAAATCTTTGTGATTTTTGAACATTAACAAACTAACTTAAACAGAGAAATCTAGTGATCTGTAAATTCATGTACACTAATGTTCTTGACTCTACACAACCATTTTCACCAGTGTTAATTAAAGTTTAATTTCCAGCAGTCTGACTGGGAAGATATATTCCAAGGCAGTTATGAACTACATTTTTCTCTTATTTTCAGTGTGAACTGAAGCTCTTCTACTTTAAAGAGCTATATGTGACTCTAAGAATTCTCTATGAATATCCTTTATTCATTTTTCACATGGTCACTAAACTTATTCATATGAGCTCTTTACGTAAAAAAACCAAATCTTGTGTGTAATAGAAACTAAAAATATTCATGAAAACTTTGTACTAATCAAATGTGTCGATTTCCAGTACATTTTTATATAGTTCTATTTATATTGTTCTGCTTAATACTAATACAAGAGGTCCACTAAAAACCACACCCACATTAGACAGTCAAGTTTCCTTTAATAACCCTTAAAAACCTCACTACATGTCATTTACAGAAAATATCTTCATTTATAAGCATTTATTTTGACCAAACATTTCTTTCTTCCACTAGGTTCTATGCCCACAAGGATAGTATTATTATTATTATTATTATTATTATTATTATTATTATTATTATTATGTTATTTCCTGTGATTCCCCTGG